TGACTGATGACCTTGGCAAAACATCCAGGCTGAATATAATGCTGGCTGGCACCACAGTTCTAATAAAACAACTGGATGGACCTAGTCGAAATGAACATGGCAACTCCAAAAGAACATGCTAAGCCGATAAGACGCAATATATAACTTTTATCCTGTTCTGAATCACAGAACCACAGTTCCTGGCTGAACTTTCTGATTGAACTGAGGAACCAGCAGGTCAACATGACCTGGTAATCACCTGGAAACACTCCTGAACCCTTGCCTTGGCCCTTGCTCATGATGTTGAGTTAGTTTGCATTGAACAGAGCCCAGGAGTCATAACAGAAACATTTGGGAAACTAACAGGTTCCACACACCTGAGGCTAAACCAACCAACAACACCATTACACACAACGAGCGGCAGGGGAACTGATCCTCAGTTTCAAGCCTCACAAGGCAAGGCTCAAGCAGAGACCTGAAAGCTCAAAGGTCAAACCTGAAAGCTCAAAGTTCAAACCTGAAAGCTCAAAGCTCAAACCTCAAAGCTCAAAACACAAAGTTCAAAACCACATCTTCAAAGCCACACAAGTTACTTTGAAACAAACACGAACACAGTAACTACTCTGGCTCTGCAACATGCATCATACAAGGTTCCACACATGCAACGTTTCAATTAAAACAAACCAAATTAAACTAAACGCTCAGAATCTAAGAAGACATGAGTTTTAAACGAGCCATAAACGGTAACAATCATACTGCAACCATAGTTTACCAAAACAAACATCACATCATTTTCACAATAGTTTATAAATCTATTCAGCAAGGCACGCTCCCAAACGGATTCCACCACACACATCAATGAACACGTGTTTTCTCAACATCCATGTAGTCTCACATCTGTGTAGCGTGACGATTTCAATGATCTAGGGGTTACACCGCCAGGCCCCCCAGATTCAAGACGGGGCCCAGTCAAAACCATCTTAAAGTACGAAAGTGAAAGGACATTATTCATAAACCCTAAAGAAAATCACTGTGAAAATATGTGATGGAAGACGCGCCCGACCAAAAGTCAATAAGATGGATGGTTCGTGAGTCGAGGCCGGGCCCATCTGTCTCTTCCCTCTAACGTCGGCTGTGGAAAGAGCAGGCGCCACTTGCCCTAATCGCCCCATCTCGGCCATATCCGATCCCTGTAGGCCCCCCAACTCTTTTTGGAGCAGTGGGTGCCATAGAGCGTGCGCTGCACGATCCACTGTTCGCCAGGTGCTGTGGCCCCAGCGTCCTGAAACAGCCTCGGTGGATTGACTTTAAGGATGTGACCACCCGTCGCATCCTTCCAAGTTTTCGTGGGGCGCGTGCAGGAACGCTGTTTGATGTCCGCAGTAGCTGCCGCTCGCATAGACTTCTTCTGCAGGCCGCTCGTGCGTGTAGTTTCCGCCCTTGCGCCTTGCGTCCTTTCCAGACACAATCTCGAAGATCCGCCCCTCTCCATGGCACTTCTCCTCGAGCTGATTGACGGGGACACCGTGACCGTATGAGCCAGAGCGCCTCCTGCAGACAACCATCCTTCTCGAAATGCCCAAGATCTTATGAGAACATGCTGTGATGGCATGCTCAAAACACACACTCAATGTCAAGCGCAGGGTATCTGTGTGGATCTTGCGCACGGCACGCAGCAACACCGCTGCCACCCTTATGGTCCTGAGCGTCTCAGCGTCTCTGCGTCCTGCTTTGTTGGGGTACGCTCGCACGATGATGCCTGCAGGACATGAGGCGCCTGATTGATAGTGTAGGGCACCCTTCTTGTATAAGAAGAAGCTTCTCTTCTATTATTGACTGCGTTGAATGCGTCTCCTGGCCAGTTCACAGACACGTAGGACAGTTTGCCAGCTGCTGACGCTTTGAAGCGATGCGAATCAAACTCTCCTGCCGTGTGTTCTTTTTGTCTTGTTGCGGCCACGGCGCCCTGGCTTGGAACCTGTGCTCGCATTGTTGGCGTTTATGCGAAAGTGGAAGGATCACGATTCCAGCAGCCACATGCAACCACACTGGAGGCCATACACAGGCAGTTCACATGGTTGTAGGGCAGACCATGGTTCGAGGCGCGCTCCCTCTCATTGGGCCATCTTAAACGAACATCTTCCACGAACAGGTCACCACCTGCCTCATCCCCAATTCAGGCTGACTGAGACCCACATTGTTGGCGTACGGGTGGGGCTGGGTTGTGTGTGCTGGAATCGCTTACGTTCTCGATCTGCAAGCCTTTCCATTCCAAGGCCTTGATCCAGTCCTGACTCCACTCACCGGCGCCGTTGTTTGTACCAGTCTACCAGCGACCAGTTCTGCACCGTCCAATCGACTGTTCTCTTGTGCTGCATCCTGCATAGGACCCCTTAGAGATCTGTTTCTGGTCAGTCTTGGCAACCTCGATCTCCTTGTGGTGGTGAGAGCACCTCGGTCGGGGCTTTTGCGTTGCTGCATGATTGTGTGTGTGTGCGTGGAGGTGACCACTTGAATTCGAACAGAGCTGATTGAGCTCACGCATGGATGTGACTTAGGGGTTGTCACTTGAATTCAGACAGGGCTCATTGAGCTCACGCACGGATGTGACTTCAAAGCGCTTGGACCACTTGAAGAAGAAAGGTGATTTCTTATGAGCCAATGAAAATTACACACAACCCATACATCACCCTGCTTCGGCGCCCAACTTCTCAGGTGTTCCTGGCAAGCTGCAGCTTTTGTCCTGCTGACTACCTTGATGAGGTTGGGCAGGGGCACATGAGAAACCTGGGATCTGGATGGTGGGGGGAGCACACCTGCTAGGTTGCTCCAAACAACTTGTGCACACAAACCACATCTATGTTGCAAATAGAACGAGGGGGGAGCAAGAAGGTATCGATAAACTTTTGTGAGTTCAGAGTGGATGATGATGCTTAACTAACATCCCTGCCTCAAAAACAGTGATATGCTTTTACCAAGTCTCTAGGACTTTAGATGGAACAAAGTGGCCTTGAACTTCAGATGTTGTTCTGCTATCTCACACCACCAGACCTCATCAGGAGCAAGACAGGTAAAGCGCCACGGCTACTGAGTATACCATCTTTTTCAGAGGGTTTGTTGATCGTAGCCCCCTTTGTCATAGATCATATAGGCTCCGGGATCCTGTCCATCCATGTGCTCAGCAACAATGGGGTCATGCAAGGTTCAAGAAGATTGGAAACAAAACCCACATCGTGTGTCCCCTATGGCTGCGATATATAACTATAAAGTTTTGACCCATACCCATATGGTTGTTTGCCCAAATCAGCCCAAAGGCAAATCTCCAAGTCCGACCTGCGGCCTTTCACTCAACCCACCGAAGAGGACCTGCGCGGCGCTGGGCAATGGGCCACGATCGATTGACGCCATTGTGTGTGAAAGGTCCATACACATTGGAACAGTGTCATGACCAGCAAAGCTTGGAACCACAATCATACTGATCTGGTAACTCCGTCGTCATGCTCTTGCAGCAACTTCCTTCATGGACAAAACCATGCTGACCGGATTCCATGGGACATGTAGCAAACCGTGCATGCTGGCTGGATGAAAGGAACCATACGGTAATCCACAAAACTGGGTCCCCGAACTTTGACTCAATGTAGGAAGCCATTTAGCAGGTTGCCAGGTCTTGCTCAACAGCTTCTTTGGCATTGTCAAAGCCTTGCCGCAGCTAGCTTCTTCCAAGGGGTCACAAAACTGTTGCGCAAAGGTGTGGCCACAGAATCGCTGTCAAAGCAAAACCTCGAGAGCCTCAGAAAAGGCATTGGGCAGGGTACTTTTGCTCACGGGCTTGGGTTGGAAGTCCCCATCCACCACTGGCCAGAGGTTCCCCTGACTGCCATGTGAGCTAGTGGCTAGGCTTGTAAAGTGAAATGTCCATGATTCATAATCATCATTCACCAAAAACATGAGGCGAAAAACAACTTGCAAGCACAGGGCCCAAACTGCATCACCTTTCGGCGTCAACTCCTTGAATTCCAACGCTGTTGGTAGTGTCTGCCTGGGAACAGCGTGCAACGCATTTTCCAGCATAGATCCCAAGTATCTTAGTCGGCAAGAATTGTTGTTGTTGTGGTGGTGGTGAACGGCCGCAGCCCCAGCCCCTGCGTGGGAAAACAGCATAAGCAGCGCGACAGCGCCAGGACAACAGAAAGACCAGAGGAGGGCGTGAGGAGGACAACGGAGGACAAAAGGACGAGGGAAGCAAAACAAGACGAACCCACCAAGAGGACAAAAGAAGGACAAGCTGTGTTTGGGCAGCGCCACCTGGACCACAGAGCAACATGAGGGGAGCAAGCCAAGAGGAGAATAGGAGAAGGGGAAGAGAATACAAGAGAAAGACAAGACGGCGACGGAGCAGGACGAGTACAACAGAGATAGGTTGGCAGCCGCCGCCAATGAACACCTGAATACGGACAACATGAAGGCAGTAGAAGAATGTGAGCATGACAGGACCACAAAGATTGTGACAAGATTGAATGATCTTGTCTTCACATGCATGCTGGAGCTTGGGTGACCTGGTTCAATACGCTCTTGGCTTCACATGCATGCTGGAGTTTGGTGACCTGCTTCAACATTGCAATCAAGTGGCAATTGCCCTTGTTTGTTTCTTGTCTCAAATGTAGGGTCCTTGAGTTATCAAGGATGGTTCCTTCAACATTGCAATTCCAAAGAAAACAAGAGGATTGAACTAGGCCACCTTTCTCCCAGCCCGGGTTTTGAGCCCAAACCCATCCTCAGAACAAGACCAATCAAAACTTTCAATTCCTAATCTGATAGCTGGTTTGGGAAAACATATCCTCCGAGTGCGCTTGGACCCTTAGAGGATTCGTATTTATCCCCGCTTCGTGGGTCAATCTCCTTGCAAAGGTTTTCTTGGTCATAACATGAATCCATCTTCAACAGCAAGTCGATCAAAAGGACGATGGGCTAAATTTGGCCTTCGCCCAGAGACACGGATGTCGCCCAGAGACGAAGCCAAGGACGACGGATCTTTGACTTGAACTTCAAGTTAACATCCAGGACAGAGACCAGACCAGACCAGACACACGTTGTAAGAAAACACTATGGTGGATGCCATGGCATCGTGAATAGCGCCTGGATTTTCTGTTTTCCCATACAAACAGGTGAACTCCACTTCCATGTGATGTTATCATCTGAACATTTTGTGGTGGACGAACTTGGCGATGTGGACTTCCAACATCCTCCAACCAACTAAGCCAAACGCAAAAGGCCAAAGGATTGGTTGGATGTGAAAGAAACAGCAGGCAGTGCAGGCAGTTGGTTTTTCATTAAGGCCAGCCTTCCATACATGGGTTGTTGGGGCTTGAAATAAAGGCTTCAACACACCTACAGGTTCAACATAAAACACTATTTGGAGACCACAATGGGAGACCAAGTTGGATACTTTCCTTGCGGATCCTTGCGGCTTAAGATGAAACCAGACCTAGATTTCACCCTATCCTTCACCATGTTTTCTTCAGATGCGACATCGCCGACGTCGGCGCGGCCCAGACGCTCGGCTCGACGTTCTCGCTTCCAGGAGGTCGAACCACAGCGAGTCGTTGGGCGCGTGGTTTCAAGGCGAGTTCCTTGACCCGGAGCGGTGCGTAGACGGGTCTTGTTGGTGCACTGTGGTCGTGTTGAGCTGGTGGTTTTTGATCAAGGATGTGTTTTTAGACATTTTTTGCAGATCGCCCAAGGGCCCCCCAAGATTCGATGTCGACAGCAGCTGGGGTGTCGATTCTTTTCTTGGCGTCACGCCCTGGAGATTGAGGTTCAGTTCGTTTTGTTCTTAAAGAGTCCGAGAGTCTCGTTATCGAACCTAAACGTTTGGGTCGTCGTCCGGTTTTACTTGGCCAGTGGGCCTCCTCCTTTCGCAGGGAAGTCCGATTTTTGCATTGCCTCCTTGGGGATTTTGTACGGATGTGGTGTGGGCCCTTTCCTTTTTTTGGTATCTGTATGTGTTTTCGCCTTGTTTTTAAGCATGTGTTTCATGCCTTTTTCCAGTTTCCAGTGACAGTACGATGATGTGGTGTTTGTTTCACACCCTTCTCCAGTGACCCCACCTTCGTGGCACGGGGGAAGCGAAGCCACCAAGCCGGCCAAATGGCCGTCCGGAACGAGAAGGTCTTAACTGTACTTGGTATGTGCCATCCTGGTCGACCTGGGTGTCCCAGGAGATCCAGTTGCGCCTCGGGGCGTCCAGGTCTGGGGGGGTGTCCCAGGTGGACTGGGATGGTCCTGATTCATCTTTCAGACTCTTGGCTCCAGATTTGGGCATCGCTTGGCCAATCTCCCTAGAAAGACCTATACCAGGACCATCCGATGGGTGTCCTGGCTGGACTACCCCACACTACATAGGCTTCCATTGGGCACCCCTTGGATGGTCCAGGTATACAGTAGTTGAACCAGCATTTAGTGACTAGAGTCACGGTCTCACTTGGAGGTGTTTTCGTCCAGATTTTGTTTACTTCGCCAATCCCAATGGGTGACTGCTCCTGGCCTCCTGGCCGTACGGTGAGGATGTCTGTTCTCCCCACGGCTGGACGTAGGCTTCTTCGACTTCTATGCAAATGACTTCGACTGGAAGGAGGAGAGACCGGTATGGCGGGATCAGGAGAGGCAACGCCTCAGGAGGTATGGTTAGACATGCAGCCTTTTTGGACCGAGTCTGGCTGAGAAAGAGGTCGTGATCCCCTTAGCTTATCCTTATATCATGCTTGATGATCATTTTAATGTCGCCAAAATAGATCAAGATAGGTCAAGTAAAGCCTAGACATGACATGTGGAGGTCGGACATTTTTGCGACTCTACCTCTATCAGGTGCTAGATGCTCTAGGTTTTAGACCAGTCAGAAGGGGCTAGAGGGCTCACTCTCACTCCACCATCAGAGTGGGTGACACTTAATTTCACTTAATTTCTACTTTCGACCAAAGTCAGGCCCAGACAACTTTCTTGGTGAAGGAAACTATCCAATGGGCCAATGGGTGTATCCCATTGCCACCTAACCGAACCATCATCATCCACTGCCCTGGTAATGGGAGAAACCATCATCATAGCCTACATTGACCCAAGATTGCCGGTTCCAAAGATCGTGTCTGGGCAGGAACGTTGGTGCAGGAACCCACCGGTACCGCAGGGCAAAGAAACCAGGAACCGCCAGCGCCGACCCGGTGGAAGCTCCTCAAGACCGATTTCCATCCGTTCTTCGACCTGGGAGCCTCACGTGGCGTCGTGGCGTTCGACGCTCCCCCCACACTAGACTACTAGCCGGGGTCTCCAGGACACAACAGACCTGGGAGGGTCACTGGCCCCTTTTGGGGCTGGGACACCTGGTGAAAGACCATTTCATCGGTCATAAAACTGGGTCCTACCCCTGGTGTTGGTTTTGGAGTCTCCAAATCCTATATATGGTGAAGACTATATAAGCTAGGGTTGTTGGGTCAAAGACACTCTAAATCTGTCATTTCCACCCACGGCAGTGTCGCCTGGTGGCATTTCGTGACGGTGTCGATTTTTTTTTTGAAACCTTGGCGGGTTTGCTTCGGGATGATCTTTGATGTTCCTGGGTGAATCCTCTTCTGGGGAATATGTTTGCAACCAGAACATGTTATATACTCTAACCTGGAGGAACATGTTATATGTTTGAGAATATGTTATACCAGAACATGTGATATTCCCCAGCATTATGTTTCTCAAATCCCTCTTACCTGGAACCATGTTCGGTCTGGGTGAATCCGGAAGCCCCGGAGGGGAACGCTTCCGCCCAGCACGGCTGGACCCGGGACCCGCGACCTGTGGCCCACCATGCTTTGAAGGGTCTGAATGCCCAAAGAACCACTGTCTTGCTATCATACATAAGGAGTTTGGGACTCTATATGATCAAAACCAGATATCAACCGTTATAACATGGGTCGAACGGACTTGTTTAGGGTGTTTAGGGTAAGATATACCGTAGGCTTCCTGGCCCACCATTTATTCAATAGGCGGGGTCATCCCGAATCAACATCAGGATTTTACACGAACAAACACCAGGTCCTTCCCATTCCTTTTTCATCCGTCGTCGCCCGCACGTCGAACGGGTCGAACTGTCGTTCCGGTTTCCCCGTCAGGAGGTGGTCTCCGTCCGCTGTGGACGACGACTCCAGGTGCGAACTTCGTATCTCCTCGTCGGTGTGCGCCGGTGTGTCCGTTCGAAGGGAGGGAGTGAAAGGCCTCCAGGCCACGTGTATCTTCCATGTCTTCCAAAGACAGGGACGCCCCCCCCCCCTGCAGAACTCAAGTTTCTGGCGGTGAAGGCAGGCCTGAAGGCCTTTTCAGCAGCACCCAAGGTCTGCACAGGGCTGGGGAAAACCCGAAGCTTCTTCGGCAGAGGACTGGACTGGACTTGACTGGACTCCATCTGCCGATCCGCTGAGAAAAGACCAGTCGCTGAATGCGTGCACCACAGCTTGTGATTGATCATGATTTCTCCATGAGATGGGCAACATCGGGTTGATTCTTCACACTCCCTCATGCAGCGCGACTGGATTTGAAGAAAGACTGGACTTAGTCCATGTCTGAATGGACGTGTCACAGTTTCGAGTCCAAAGAGGAGCCCCCCTGAATGGTGAACGACATCGACACACGAACGACCAGTTCCCTGTGGAACAAAAGTAGACCATTCGTGACCGGTGGATGAGTCCACAGACGGCCACCTCTATAGGGTGTTTTTGGGTTTTTGAACACCTTTTCACCCAAGGAAATGAAAGCGGACTCTGATCAGTGGAAGGCTCACTCAGGTTCGGTCATGCAGCTTCCAACCCGAACCTTCCCAGTCACCGAAGAGGATTGGCGCTTGTGACGTGGCCGAGAAGCCACTGGGATCTCAAGTTCGGTCACTTTGAAGGTCCTGGAACGCGTATTTTCATGGTCTCAATGCTGCAAGTATGAGATATTCTCTCAAGTGCTCCTGGAGTCACAAAGGGGTGGTTTTTAGTCCCTAAGTGAGTGGACAATGGGCACTCCTGGCTGTTTGACCTTGTTCATGATGCAAGTAGGCCCTGGAAACAGGGCTTCACAAGATTGGAACATGCTGGGTCTACACTGTCTGGTTCCCCCCCAAAAAGCAACCTGTTGAAAGAATAGCTTACCGGTTGTAGAGGGTTAGTTTGGGTAACTAGGCTGATCCCGTACACAACCAAACCTCATTGCCTGGCGAAACCACTAAAGGGACCTGTGGTGGACCTGGTCTCGCGCTTCCCATGCACCGTCCCGCGTGGTTGGTTCGCAGGGTCTGATCACCCCCGAACTGGAGGAGGTCTGGTGATGGTGATTTTTCATTCACCGGAACCGATCTCTCTTCCAAGCACCATTGGTCCACATGGTTTGAGGGTTTCAATTCTCAATTCCGAAGGAACCATTTAGTTGGATTTGACCTCAAACCGGTGTGGTTCCCATTTGTTTCAAAGAACCATAGGTCGAACTCTCGCTTCACACCGGCGCAACCCGGGATTCACTTTTGGCGCAGGTTGGGTGGGACGGCGCGCTCCGAAATCTCCGGCGCAGGTGGAGGATCCCAGCTTCGCAGCACTCAAGGTCGATCGCGCGAAGGACTTGCAGATCGAGGAGCGCTTGACTCTCTCGCGCGACCGGGATGGCGACGTCGTGGCCGGTGTGGCTGGTCGCGGGAAACGCCGAGCTCTTTTTGGTGTTGGGGGTAGGGTAGAGACTCTGAGCCTATCTGAGCCTTTGGGTTCTTTGTTGCTTCTTTTTCCGGGTGTGGAATTGTGTGGTTCCGCGGGTGGAAAGAGTTTTGGGCGGCTGGCAACGGCTGGAAGGCTTTTGGTGGTTGTTGGGTTCCATGGTGGAATGAATGGATGGTATGTGGGTAGATCGGCAAATTATTGGTAGATTGGGACTTGCAACTTCTTGAAGGGTCTTTCCCATGGGAAAACCATGGAGAGACCCCCAACCGAGCGCGCTCATGCGGTTTCAACCTGTTTCCCCGATCAGTTGGGGTTGTTTGAGGGGTCAATACACCATGAGCACACGAAAGCATGAAAAGCCAGCATAAAACCCCGGTCATGACTGGCAAGTCGCAAAACATCAAAACATGGCACGTCTGATGCAACCTGTCATTCCTGCTCAGGACCCGGTGGAAATTAGCCGCAACTTGAACTTCGCGTTGACGAAGGCGGAGCCATGTTGGGAGACGGTCTTCGGTCTTTCTTCGATTAAGGGTCAGACATCATCGGGTTGAACTCAGGGAGTCGCCTGTACTTGTCGAACTTGTCGTACCAATTTCAAATGGCTCATTTGATCTTGAAGTCGAGGGCTTGCACTTGTCACATGCCGCAAGGTCCGCAGCTCAGACGGTCCGGATCCAGGTCGTTGCTGACAGTCTTGTAGGGATGGCGCGAAGCAACTGGTACGACATGACCTTCAACTCAGAGGAGGAAGACACCTTTACTCCGGCAGAAACAAATGCAGCCAATGCTCATGAGCCGGAACGTCAAGCAGAGACACCCTTGGACCTCGCCAGAGATGCAATGGCTTTGCATCCAAATGGTACGTGTGATCCATGTGTCTTCTTGGCTTCGGCTCATGGCTGTTCCAAGGGGTTGGACTGTGACTTCTGTCACCTGCACCATCCAGAGGCCGATTCATCTAGCTTCTACCGTCCAAGGAAGGAGCGTCGCAGGAGGATGAAGCGGCAGATTCTGCAGCATCTCCAAGGACCCGATCCAGATGAAATTCAGCAAGCCTTGCAACCGCAGTCCGTATATGCGCTTCATCATCCCATCCCAAATTAATCTTCATTTGGGGGGAGCCTACTCCTGCTTCCACGAGTGATAATATGTGAGGCAACCATCGTCACAAATCAGTGAGTACCTCTGTCAGATTCAGAGCATCTCGGGGGCACTCTTGTAACACATGTTTAAACTTTAGATAGCGCTGCAAGTCATGGAGTGCGGGGGTGTGTCCAAAGCGCACCTTGTTCGCCCCGGGGCAAGCAGCAACCTTGTGCAGTGCAGGGCGAGAGGCCAAGTCTTTTTGTGTGCTGCCAAGTTCTGCACGTGATGGCAGTGCGTGCAGCGCACAGGGTTCCGCCCTTGACAGTTTTTGGATACCGAGCATCAGTTGTATGCTGTTGCTGAGCCGGGCCCACAGTGGCCTGCTGTGAATAGTATGGTAATATCACGTCGACCAGGGATTCGCACAGCCTAGTGCCTATGAAATGATTGATTACAACTAACTTGTTCCACAGGAGAAAGGATTAGCGCAACAAGTTGTAAGCGAGATCCTGAGCATAGCAATCGACCTTGCATGTCGTTGGCCCTTTAAGTGGCGTCAGTTTATACGGCTCTTGCCCCTTTTGGAGCCTGACCAAGAGAACCCGAGTCACCGTCTTTTGGTGGCCAAGAAGCTGTACAAATTTCAGTTGTATGACAAGAAGAAGCTCTGGGTGTTGGCCAAGAAGTAGTATATATCTCATTACATCTCCGAATTCAACGCAACTTTTTGATAAGAATGTCTTGGATCAAGGGTTCTTGATGGAGACATGCACTAATAGAACACTAATTTGCTGGTACAGATGCCCTGCGATGCTGCTGATCTCATTGACTGCTGGTGTCAGTTTCACCATAATTTGTGTGCCTTGTATTGTTCTGTCAGTGCTTTCTGGCTCTCTTCTTCTCCCACAGCAAATCTCCCTACAGCAGCGACTGTTTGATTCTGTGACTGATCCTCCATAGTTAGGCGATGGACAGAACTGCAAGAGCGACTCCCCAATCTGTTGTTGATATGCAAAGCTGTGACGACCAGCGGCATGCGGGGACCGCGCGGGCGGCGGGGATGAAAGGCAAGCAGACGAGAGTTGGGGGATGTGGCCGAATCAAGAAGCACAGCTAGACGTCCCACGGTATCTTTTTGGTTCACGCCCCAAATGGAGATACATCTACCTAGTCCCTCATTTCGGTGTGTCTAATAATAGCTTGAACCCTTACCAGCGGGGGCCCTTAACCAGCACCCTGCCAGGCCTCCTCCTTAAGAATCCGGGCCTGAACAAATGAGAAGGGCGAGCTAGGTTCCGGTCCGTACCCCGTTTCGGTGGAGAAGGTCGAGGTCGAGCCCAAGCTCAGACTCGCCGGCGAGCCTGTTGGTTTCAGAGGTTTGATGGGCACAAGTTATCCCAAGTTTGGTGGTTTACATGGAGCCAAGTGTCTAAGACATCTTTGGAGTGCCAGTGCCAAACCATCGAACCTCTGAAAGCACTATAAGGCTTGGAAAGAGGGGCCTCCAGGGCCGCCAGGGTCCCTCTCCAAGAGCCAAGGAGCCGAACCCAGCGCTGAAACGCAAGTGCTCCTGGGATCTCGCTCTCCCTCTTCCCATCAGACGTCTTTTTTTGCAAGAACTTGATCATAACTGATCATACATGATCATTCACATCATCATTCTACATGATACGATTACTGATCATACATGATCATTCACATCATCATTCTACATGATACGATTACTGATCATACATGATCATTCACATCATCATTCTACATGATACGATTTAGGGTTTTCTTATTGATTTCGATGTAATGAAGGACACATGAAAAAGAGAAGCTCTACGTCCCCGCTTCAGCGCAAGGCCCGGGGGGGGTCTTCTTCCCCCGGCCCTCGCGCTGGTTCCCCTCTCGAGGCCGGCCGGATTCCAACGCTGATCCAGAGGGCGGCGAAGGTCTTGAGGCCTGTACCGCCGTCGGCGGCGATGCGTCCGAACATCTGGAGGCAGAACGAACTGCCGAACCGAAAGGGAAATCCCAAAGCAGATCCCTTTTGGAGGACTTGCTTCGAACGGAGAACGGAGCGAACGATGAAATCGTTGGTCACTTGGTCATACAAAATCCACGACTCGTGGGAAAAAAGCGGTTTGTCATGGGTCAGACGGTCAGTGGGGTTTCAGAAAAACACAATATATTCCCGAAAGCATTGCGAAGGGTTCTTCCGGAAAATCCTTTGAACACTTACACTTCGACACTTACACTTACACACACACACACACTGGAAGAGCGAAAGCATCCAAGTGCGAAGTATGCCAGTGTCAAAGTATGCAAGTGTAAGTATGCAAGCACGCAATGAGTATACAAGCATGCAATGAGTAGGCAAGTGTGAGTATGGAAAACTAGCACGGGAGATGTCCTAATGAAAAAACATTTCCCCACTTTATAAATTCTCTCTTAAAGGCGGAGTGCGGGACGAACAGCGTCAACCGAAAGTGCAACCCTCTGCGGAGATCGTGCGTGTCGAGTGCGCGAAATGCAGGC